AAATAGCAAACACTACATTTCTCCAAAAAGAAATTACATAGGATTTTCCCCAACATATCTCCCATTTGTGATAAGTGCAAATCAGAAGAAGCTGATTTAGCTCATAGTTATGTATTCTGTTATAAAATACAGGGATTCTGGAATGAGGTCTTTAAAGTGCTTTCAGATGTTCTTGACCAACATATAGATCCTGACCCAATGCTTATTATATTAGGACATTCTGATTATACATATTCATTGAGCAGTCCACAACAGAAATTCCTTGCATATTGTTTGATTACAGCCAAAAAGCTGCTATTATTGTATTGGAAAAATGTTAATCCTCCAACTGCCAAACTATGGCTTGAAGAATTGACATCTACTCTGCACCTGGAACGAACCAGATTTATTTTAAAAGGCAACATTGGACAATTTCAGAAAATTTGGGGCCCTTTCTTTTATTACTTCATGGGGAATTCTTCCCCCCAAAGCAATGTATTGTAACTAAAAGTTGTTTTGATTATCACTGTAGTGTATACTTTTGTGTTTTTTTGTTTGTTTGTTTGTTTGTTTGTTTTGTTTTTGTAAATGTATGCATATCAGAAAACTAATCCTGTGATTATTGTAAGTTTATTCAACGACCAAATAAAAAAACTTATTTGACAAAAAAAAAAAAAAAAAAATAGCAAACACTGAACATCTCTCTATATTTAGGCTAAAAGACTGCTTTATTTATTTATTTATTTAAGACTACTTATTTGTACTGAATGTTTGTGCTTTCATTCTAGTTGTCTTTTATTTCTTCAATTCTATTTTCCAAAACGAATCCTCTTTGCACTTAAAAAGTTTACAATAAACCAGGTAAACAAATTTTAAATGTAAGTTGAGGTGATCGCAAGTTCACAACTGTGAGGTGATGTGCTCCACCGGCAGGATAATCTGTGAGCTGCGTCCCAAATGGCACACTATACACTATGCACTCATGCACTACAGTATGTACTCATGCACTTACACACTCAACAGGATAGTATATGTATGTAGTGTCGTCCCAAATGGCACACTAATGTATTTTTACTAAGCGAAAATTCAAACCGTTTCCCTGATGACGTTTGACGGTCGCCAAATCAGTGAAATAAACGACCGAATTATCAAATAATACCTGCCGTGAGTATAACCGCATTCACCATCGGGAGGCGCTATAATCACTCTCGTAGGAGAATTTTGCTTTCACCATCCAAAATAAATAAAGTTATTCAACATGTGCGCCCGATAGCTCCGCCCCTTCCGCTACGTAAGCAAACCTGCGGTCGTTGAGTGCGTGAAGTGTCCATCATTACACACTTTACTTTACAGGCTGAATGAGTGCATCATCCGGGTAATTAAAGTGCACTTATTATTTTGAGAGTTTTCAATGTGAACACACTACTTACACTATTTATACTACAAAATGGCGTAAAATAGTGCATAAGTGTGCGATTTGGGACGCAGCTTATATTATTTTGCTGTTTTTCATATGCGCACGTTTAAGATTTGAGATAATACCATTGCCATGATAGTCAAAGAAATCAAAACATTATTTTCACCCCAACGCAATTTAATCGGGCACTGAAGGCTAATAACTTAATTCTTATATTTGCTTTTTGAAGCCTATGACTTCTCACCATGTATCTTTTCTACAGCATACAGTATAGTGTAAGAGCATGTCTATTACCAGAAAAACTAAATTAAAATGATATTTTAATTGAACACATCACATCACATACAGTAAGCTACGCCTACAGAACAGTCTGTTTAGCATTGTGAAAAGGCAAAGCTGAATATCTGTGGTTAAAGTGCCACCCAGCGGTCAAATGCTGCTGGCGCATCAATTACCGCCGTCGCCGCGGTATGAATGGCGGCAAAAGGAACACATTGAAGTAGTAACATCTGTAAACTTCACTTATTAAAATGTGTAATATAATTGGAGAAACCAGCATCTGAAATGCTCTATTTATGTATATTTTTATAGATTTAGTTTTATTTTCTTATTATTTTTGGTTTTATTTCGATATTTATTTTTAATTATTTTGATTTTTAATATAATGAGGGAGAATAAAGAGAAGCCAGCATCTAAAATGCTCTAAATATGTATATTTTTGTTGTAAATTCTGAACTTTTTCACACAATTTTTAAAAAATATATGTACTTTTATATATATATAAACTGCTGTAAATATGTATATTTATTTTTTTTCACTTTTTTGTTTCACTATTTTAATAGATTTGTTTTGTTTTTTACTCATTGTTTTGTTTTTATTTGGATTGTATTTTTATAAATAAATTAGTTTCTCTTTGTTATATTGCAGTCATTTGCTAAAATCATTTAAGTTCATTTGTTTTCCTCTTGGATGTACACACAGCACCCCACACTGACAGAACATCACAGAAGTGTGGACATTTATGCAGATTTATTAAAAAAGACAAACTGAATTCTCACAAGCTCCTCAGTATTCAGAGCCTTTGCTGTGACACTCCTATCTTTAACTCTGCTGTCCATTTCTTCTGATCATCCTTGAGATTCTTCTACGTCTTTATTTTAGTTCACCAGCTGTGTTTGATTATACTGACTGGACTTGATTAGGAAAGCCACACACCTGTCTATATAAGAGCTTACAGCTCTCAATGCATGTCAGAGCAGATGTCAATCATGAGGTCAAAGGAACTGCCTGAAGGTTCCTAGAAGCACAGTGGCCTCCATAATCCTTTAACAGAAGATGTTTGGAACGACCAGAACCCTCCTAGAGCCGAGGGAAAAAGAGGGACAAAAGCCTTGATGAGAGAGGCGAAGAAGAACCAAAGATCACTGCGGCTGAGCTCCAGAGATGCAGTCAGGAGATGGAAGAAAGTTGTAGAAAGTGGCAAATTGGCATGAATGCCCGCATGGAGTTTGCTAAAAAAAACAACAACACCTGAAGAACTGATGAGAAATAAGATTATCTGGTCTGATGAGACCAAGATTGAGCTATTTAGCCTTAAATCTAAGTGGTATGTGAGGAGAAAATTCCAATACAGTCCCAACAGTGAAGCATGGTGGAGGCAGCATCATGTTGTTGGGGTGTTCATGTTGTGGCGGCTGCAGGGACAGGACGACTGTGAACGTGGATGAATGTGGCTCAGTACAGGGATATCCTGGATGAAAACCTTTTCTGCAGTGCTCCGGACCTCAGACTGAATGTTCACCTTCCAAGACAATGACCCTTAGCGCACAGCTAAAATAATGAAGGTATCATGGCTTCACTACAACTCTGTGACTGTTCTTGAATGGCACAGCCAGAGCCCTGACATAAACCCAATTGAGCATATTTGGAGAGACCTAAAATGGCTGTCCACCAATGTTTACCATCCAACCTGACAGAACTGGAGAGGATCTGCAAGGAGGAATGGCAGAGGATCCCCAAATCCAGGAGTGCAAAACCTGTTGCATCTTTCCAAAACAGACTCACAGCTATTATGTCAAAAGGGTGCTTCACTACATACTGAGTAAAGAGTTTGAATACTATAGAGCATGTGATATTTATGTTTTTTTTTAAAAAGAAATCTGCATAAATGTCCACAATTCTGTGTTTTTCTGTCAGTATGGGCTGCTGTGTGGACATTAATGAGGAAAAAATGAACAAATGATTTTAGCAATTGTTGGAAAATAACAAAGAGTGAAAAATTTAAGGCGGTCTGAATACTTTCCGTACACTACACACACATATATATATATATGGTATGTTCTGTAGATAGATTAGCATAAGGGGGCTAATCATTTTGACCTTAAAATGGGTTTTAAAAAAGTAAAAACTGCTTTTATTCTAGCCTAAATAAAACAAGCAAGACTTTCTCCAGAAGAAACAATATTATCAGACATACTGTGAAAATTTCCAGAATCTGTTGAACATCATTTGGGAAATATTTAAAAAGAAAAAACTTCAAAGGGGGGCTAATAATTTTGACTGACTTGAGATATATATATATATATATATATATATATTTATACAACAGTTCTGTCTGGTTCTCGAATCTGATTGGCTGATAGCCATGTGATATTCTGCAATATCAGAACTGCTACAGTCTCTTTACTCTTTGTGTATTACTCCGCCCACATACAGCCAGCAAATAGCACACACTACAGATCTATATATATATATATATATATATATATACATATAATGCAAAAGTAAAATAAAACTAATCTACATATCTCTTAATTTTTCCTCATTATATTAAAAAGTTATAATAAATCATTATTAATAATTTATTTATAAAAATAAAAGCAAATTGAAACAAACAAGTGAAACAAGTGAAAAAATAAATATACATATTTACAGCAGTTTATATATAATAGTACATATAATTTTTTTTTTTAAATGTGCAAAAAAGTTCTGAATTTACAACAAAAATATATACATATTTAGAGCATTTTAGATGCTGGCTTCTATTCATTCTGCCTCATTATATTAAAAATTAAAATAATTGAAAATAAATATCCAAATAAAACCAAAATAATAAGAAAATAAACATAACTTTATAAAAAAAATATACATAAATAGAGCATTTTAGATGCTGGTTTCTCCAATTATATTACACATTTTAATAAATAACATGTGCAGAAATAAAAAAAACAAATCTATAAAAATATTCATATCTCTTCATTTCCCCTCATTATATATAATTCTAATAATTAAGAATAAATATCCAAATAAAAACAAAAATAATGCAGAAATAAAATAAAACAAATCTATAAAAATATTCATATTAAGAGCATTTTAGATGCTGGCTCATCATTTCTCCTCATTATATTAATTTGATCAAAAATAAAGAAAAACTATGCATTTGTTCTTGTGACGATCATCTAATACTAACAAATATTATAAAACAATGGCACATTTTTCAGGTTTGACCACATAAAGACAGTCATATTGCATAATCACATGCAGTAAAAGCCCAAAAAGTCATTGCAAAAGGACTTTCTCGTAAAGGACAGAAAAGGAAACCTACTTGCTCGTAAGATGTTTTCTTTGCTGCTGCATCGAGACTGCACCTGATGAAAGAAAAGAAGGAAAAATATTTATTATTTATTTATATATATTAATATTTAACTCTGCTGTGTTCGCATGGAGCTTTCAAGAGATGTTAGCTACGAAACCCACAAAAAACAATAGGCAACGCTGAGAGTTCTGGGATGTGATGAGGAGAAACAGACACGCCAGTGATCAAAAGCAGAAATTGTGAAAAAATATTATCAAAAAAATATTATCATTAAAAATATCATCATTAAAATATTATCATTAAAAATATCATCATTAAAATATAATTAAAATATTATCATTAAAAATATCATCATTAAAATATTATCATTAAAAATATCATCATTAAAATATTATCATTAAAAATTGCTATTTTCTTTTTTGATACTATTATAAAATACATTTTATTGCTGTCACACAAAGCTGGATTTTCAGCATCATTACTCCAGCCTTCAGCAAATCATTTCTGATTATTATAAAAATAAATAAATAAATTAAATAAATGAATAAATAATCAATAAAAATAAATAAATAAATAAATAAATAAATAAATAAATATTTAATATATGTTTTCCTTTTGATAATATTATTAACTGTATTTTATTCCTTTGATGTAAAGCTGGAATTCAGCATCATTACTCCAGTCTTCAGCAAAACATTTTTGATTATTCTAAAAATAAAAATTATTCAATAAATAATTAAATTAATAAACAAACAACTGTTTACCTTTTAAAAAAATTAAGTATTTTATTCCTGCAATAAATAAATAAAAATAAATTTATTAAATTAATAAATAAAAATAAATAAATCGTTTTTATTTTTTTTATATTATTAACTGTATTTTATTCCTGTGATGCAAAGCTGAGTTTTCAGCATCTTTACTTCAGCTTTCAGCGAAACATTTCTGATTATTATTAAAATAAATAAAAATGAATAAATTAATAAATACAAATGATTAAATAAAAATTACAAAATAAATTAAAAAAAATAAATAAATAACTGTTTACCTTTTGAAAAAATAATAAACTGTATTTTATTCCTCAAAAAAAAAAATCAATCAAACAAACAAACAAACAAACAAACAAACAAACAAACATAAGTTTAAATTAAAATATTTGGGTTCACCTTAATGCAGAATGAAAAATAGAAAAGATAAAATAAATAAATAAATAAATAAATAAATATAAATGTAAATAAATAAATACAAAAATAAAATAAATAGGCTAAAGGTTAGCTTAATTTAAAACAAGTTAGTTCTGATTAATGCAAAAATAAAAGAGTAAGCAAGCAAACAAGCAAGCAAGCAAACAGAAAAACAAACAAACCAACCAACAAACAAACAAATAAATAAACAAACAAATAAACAAATATATATAATTTTAAGTATATATTTAACATTTATATTTAATTATTAAATAGGATTTAATTTTGTATTTAATACTATTTATACATTTGATTTTGCTAAATGTGTTTTATTTTCCATCTGTGCTTTATTCTCTTTAATTCAGACGTGTGTGTTTGCTTTAGTTTGTGAGAAGCACACTATAATCAGCTCGACTGTAGTATCTCCATTGAGTGTGTGTGATCCTGGAGAAACAGTCGTGAAACATGAGAGAAAGAGCTGAAAGAGCAGAAGACGAAGAATAAATCAAACAACATGATGATCTCAGCAAAACCCACACACATAGCCCTACACTAAAACACACACAGTAATCTGACTCTACTTCAGAATTTACAGGATTCAGCTTTAACAACAGGTACTTTCCATCTAAAATCTATTTTTTTCCCGCACATATCACTGCGTTTGAAGCTTTATTTATTTCGTACACTACATAATCCAATCAAAAAGTATTTAGACTTGAATAAAAAAATGCATTGCAATATTTACACACTTCATCCATACAGTCCTCAAGTCAAATATTGACATATATCATGTAATAAAACATGTATCACACTTGATTCAAAACTGACATGAAGAGAAGCAACATGGATAAAGGAGGAGCGAAGGAAAAGAGGGAGCAGAAGACATAAAAACAGAGATTGTGGGTGTTTTTTTGGGATAGTTACTCGAGAACTGAAGGTCCGATGGCCACGACGGTCATCTTTTAGCACCTCCAACCTACACTGGAGCTTACAGAGATATAAAGTTCAGTCCGTCAGTCACAAAACACTGGAAAAAGCCCACCGACACAAGACTGAGAGCAAAAACAAACCACCAAAAATAAAGCGCTATACAAATAAAAACTAAGAGTAACAAATATCTCACACACTGGAAATGTCGTTAGTTACTTATAAAAAGTGAGTAAACCTAATGCAACTTAAGGAACACTCCATTAAAAAAAGATAGTCGGGACTTAATATTTTTTTAAATTCTATTTAGCCGATCTCTACGTCTGGAGAGCACTTTTAGCTTAGCTTAGCATAGATCATTGAATTGGATTAGACCGTTAGCATCTCAAAAAATGTCTTTCCATAATTTTCAAAGGGACAAACAGAAATATTCACATACAACATTTCAAATGAAAGTTGCTATTTTCCAGAACAGTGTGTCTTCATACTCTCATTGCAATGTTTCATTTGTTAACTGTTTGTTTTGATTATTACCTACCTCTCATGTTTAGCTAGAAGAAATAAAAGCAATACTTTCAGTATATATCTTTGCAAGTATTACCATTTATGAATCCATTCAGTCGATCTCTGGGTCTGGCGGGGGGGGGGGGGGGGGGGGGGGGGGGGGAGTACTTTTAGCTTAGCTTAATAATTAGCATAGATCATTGAATCAGATTAGACCATTAGCATCTTAAGAAATGATTGTCTTACAATAATTTAAGGGAAAAAGTTCATACAAAAAAATTTGAATGAAAGTTGCAATTTTCTACGACATGTCTAGGAACTATACTCTCATTGCAATATTTTATTTATTAATGACAGACGGATCCTTAAATTTTTTTTAATATTATGTATCTCTCTTGTTTAGCTAAAGGAATAAAAGCAATGCTCATGCATCTTCGCAAGTTTTAACCTTTTTTAATCCATCTAGTCCATCTCCAAGTCTGGTGAGAGCACTTTTAGCTCAGATTAGCATAGATCATTAGATCAGATTAGACCATTAGCATCTCAAAAATGTCTTTCAATAGTTTTCAAAGAAACAAACGGAAAATTTCACATGAAAAATTTTGAATGAAAGTTGCTATTTTCCAGGATGATTTGTTCAGGAACTTTACTCTCATTGAAGTGTTTTGTTTATTTATGACAGACTGTTTGTCTGAATATTACGTATCTCTCTTGTTTAGCTAGAAGAAATAAAAGCAATGCTCATATATTTTTGCAAGTTTTACTGTTTTTGAATCCATTCAGTCGATCTCCGGTTCTGGTGGAAGCGCTTTTAGCTTAGCTTAGCAAAATTTTTTGAATAGGATTAGACCATTAGCATTTAAAAAAAAAATTTAAATTTTAAAAATTTTAAAAATTTTAAATTTTTTTGAAGATTGTCTTTCAACAATCTTCAAAAAAAAAACAAACGGAAAAATGACTAAAGAGTTTTCTATAAAATTAGCCTATTTAAAATAAAATGAAGCATTGCTTTGATTTTTACAATTAATTAAGGCATTGGGTTTATTTAATTAAATACATTTTAATGAAATAACCTTTTTTTACAATGCAGATGCCCTTTAAAAATGGCAAGAATACTGCAATTATTAGTAAATAGTAGAACAGGCGAGTTTTGCCATTTTTGAACATTTTTGGACTTTTAGCTGGATTTGACCATTAGTGCCTCGATCAAAAATGACTAAAGAGTTTTGATCATTTTCCTATTTCACAACAATGTTGCCTCACTGTAGTGACCTTCTAACAACATTGTATTAACCTTAATAAAAAGCTGGTTGTTATAACGTTGTCACAAGGTTGCCATTTAACTATCATTCAGGCTCATAACTTAAAGGTTGTCTGGAAAACCACTGCTCAACTTTTATTTGTCATCATCAAAAATGAGCATTTTATTTTCAACTGATTGTTGGACAGCTCATTTTGTATTAATCTTGCGAGGATACGTTAGAATTCATTTTATTTCTTGAGAGAGATGCTAATGGTCTAATCCGATTCAATGATCTATGCTAAGCTAAGCTAAAAGGGTTCCTGCCAGAACCGGAGATCGACTGAATGGATAAAAAATGGTAAAACAAAAACTATTTCATCTTGCGAAGATGCATGAGCATTGCTTTTATTTATTCTAGCTAAACATGAGAGATACGTAATATTCAAGCAAACCTACAGTATCCATTGGTCGTTAATAAACAAAGCATTACAATAAGAGTAGTTTCTGGACATATCACCCTAGAAAATAGCAACTGTCATTTAAATTTTGTTGTGTGAATTTTGAAATCCTTTGAAAATTATTAAAAGACTTTTTTGAGATGCTAATGGTCTAATCTGATTCAATGATCTATGCTAAGCTAAGCTAAAAGTGCTCCTGCCAGACCCGGAGTTTGACTAAATAGATTAAAGAAATTGTAAAATTTGTGGAGATGCATGAGTATTGCTTTTATTTATTCTAGCTAAAGTTCCTAGACATATCGCCCTAGAAAGTAACAAGTTCTCATTTAAAATTCGATGTGTAAAATGTTCCATTTCTTCCATTGAAAATTATTAAAAGTTATTTTGAGATGCTAATGGTCTAATCCGATTCAATGATCTATGCTAATCTAAGTTAAAAGCGTTCCTGCCAGAACCGAAGATCGACTGAATGGATAAAAAATGGTAAAACAAAAACTATTTCATCTTGCGAAGATGCATGAAAGTTGCTTTTATTTCTTCTAGCTAAACATGAGAGATACCTAATATTCAAACAAACCTAAAGTGTCCATTCTTCGTTAATAAACAAAGCATTACAATGAGAGTATAGTTCCTAGACACATCGTCCCATGCAGAAAATAGCAACTTTTCATTTAAAATTTGTTGTGTGAAATTTTCCATTTCTTCCTTTGATAATCATTGAAAGACATTTTTGACATGCTAATGGTCTAATCTGATTCAATGATCTATGCTAAGCTAAAAGTGCTCCCGCCAGACCAGGAGATCGACTGAATGGATAAAAAAATGGTCAAACAAAAACTATTTCATCTTGTGAAGATGCATGAGTATTGCTTTTATTTTTTCAAGCTAAACATGAGAGATACGTAATGTTCAAACAAACCTAAAGTGTCCATTAGTTGTATATAAACAAAACATTGCAATGAGAGTATAGTTCTTAGACATGTCGACCTAGAAAGTAGCAACTTTTCATTTAAAATTTGTTGTGTAAAATTTTCCATTTCTTCCTTTGAAAATTATTAAAAGACATTTTGAGATGCTAATGGTCTAATCTGATTCAATGATCTATGCTAAGCTAAGCTAAAAGTGCCCAAGCTAGATCTGGAGATTGGCTGAATGGATACAAAAATGGTAAAACTTGACTGTTTAACTCGAGGAGCTCTAATGCTAAATGAGCCTATTTTTTTTTTTTTAAAGTGAAGTGTTCCTTAGATTTTTTTCTTTTTGCACTTTTGCACATATGCATTAGCATGTCCATGTGCATATGGGCAGTTATTTGCTTAATAACTCAAAGATAAGTGATTTACTCACTTTTTAAAGTAAGTGCAATGAATCCTCTTTTTACAGTGCAGATTAAAAAGGGAAATTTTACAAAACACACACACACACACACACACACACACACACACACACACACACACACACACACACACACACACACACACACACACACACACACACACACACACACACACACAATCAGATCATGATCTGTTTTATATCCTTCATATAAACTGACATCATTTGCAAGCTCACTTACTGCGTTGTTTGGTCATTAGTATCCAACAAATCATCTTTCAGCTCGTGTTTTTTTTGTGCAGACACGAAATAATCAGTCATTGTGATTTTGAGGAGCACACAACAAAAATTTATTTACATTTAAAAAAAAATTTCGTCCAATCAAATTTGTTTACTGACTTTAGAATCTTTTTCTGTTAATTAAAGGAATAGCTCACCAAATAAATAAACATGTATTCAGTAAAAAGAAAATCTGCAGCAAATTCCACTTCACACAAACTATACCACTGTATTGTATACACAGTTTGTATATATTTTACAGGTTTACAATTATATTACAAATTATAGTGATATTTTAAGTTTGATATTATGAAAGGTTTACATTTTGTTGACGTTGTACAACAATTCTCAAGTCTAACTTGAGAACTTGAGGCTTGCATCTGACTTATACAATGCTACACGGACACACAAAGACATACACGTTCATTCAAGTCTTTACAACACACACACACGCACGCACGCACACGCACACACACACACACACACACACACACACACACACACGCAGGCACGCACATGCACACGCACACGTATGTTGGAATTGGTGATTTACAGGGACTTAGACGTCATAGACGTAATGAATTTCTATGTTAAAAAATGCTTTTAATATGGCCTTACCCTAACCTGAACCTAAACCCAATGCAACCAATTTTGATTTGAAAGCGCTTTGAATTCTAAAAACATCAGGCATGTCCTCATAAACCACCTTAATAAAGTACAAATAGATCATACCCATGTCCTTATACTTATGTATATGTAAATACGTATGTCCCTGTAAACCACCAAAACCAGTACACACATACACACACACACACACACACACACATACACACACACACACACACTCACACAAATCATATCCGTACAGACATATGAGCCCAAAAAGGCCAACAATTGGAGGTGAAGAGTTTTATTTAATTTAATATGAGTTTGTTTGGGTTAAAGACAAAGGCTCATTGGGAATATGTGCCCAGGGCTACATTTTTGAGAATCGGGAAATATGTGCACAGGGCTACGTATGGCTGCATTTTGGGTGTAAAACGAACGCTACGGGAACCATTGATCAGTAACTTTGGAGCCAGATCGGTCTCAAAATAATACATTTACAAAATAAATATTTTAGCCAAATGAATTGGATTTGTGTATTTATGAAAGTTTTTTGAATTTACGAATTGGATTTGCATATTTATGAATTGGTTTTGAATTTCTGAATTGGATTTGCATGTTTATGAATTGTCTTTTGAATTTATGAATTGAATTTTGAATTTATGAATTGGATTCGCGTATTTTTGGATTGTGTTTTGAATTTACGAATTGGATTTGCATATTTATGAATAAATATTTGCATATTTTCTAATTGACTAAGTGGAATTTGTAAATGTGAATAGTGTTGTGGATTAATTAATTTTATTTGGTAAATGCATTATTTTTGATCATTTTTGCTCTGACTCCGTAGCTAACCTCTGTATGGACGACTATTCAGGTGTGATCAGGTTGCTCAGTAGCTCACCTTATTAGATTTGGGAAGTAGAGCGGATTTGCTATTCTGGCAAAAGAAACAAAAATCTGCACACAACTGGCTTTCCTCTTCTAGTGCCCCAGGAAGGTATTTGAGATTGTCAAAAATGCACTCAGCCCCCTCTAGTGGATTTGTGAAAAAAAAAACTTGCAAGCAGACGTCACCCTATTTCTCAATTCTCAAAAATGTAGCCCTGTGCACATATATCCACTAAGCTATGATACACATAAAAAATAAAAAACTGAATAATGTCAAACTGATTATGGCCATCAGAGGGCGCTGTGGAGGAATAGATTTACTACAGATCTTGCAGTGTGAAGTATATAAATGCACTTAATGTGGGTCAATTCTCTAGGGTTAGCAGTATCTCTAGCTGCTCAGGCTGTGTTTACTGTAAAAGCTCCTTATATTCTGCAGGTGACTGGAGATGAACGGTTTACCTGGTCCAAGGTAGAGAACCTTGACTTGAGTGTGATGACCTCATCCAGATGAGCTCTGAACTCTCTCCTGGATGCCTGGAGGAACCACAGGACAGTCACAAAACACACTCACATGCGCACACACACGCACGCACACACACAATCACATATGCACACATGCATACAGTCTCAAAACGCACACATATACACACTTATTTACACACACACACACGCACTCTCAATAAACACATGTACACACCCAGAACACTAACACACACTCATATACACAACATTCTAACACTGACACACGCACACACCCACACACACACAGACAGACACACACACACAACTCTCCATGTCTGAGAGACACCGAATCGGTCAGCACATATATAAGCATGCGCTGCCACAAACACATTCGTCTCCCACAACACACACACACACTGCCATGATGCGCACCGTTACGATGGAAAAACATGAGCGAACGGCTGAACCAACAAAAAGTGAGCAGCGCTACAGAAACACAACTGATCTGATGCTGTGAGGAACAACAGAAAAGACTTGATGGAGCAGATCTTAATAACTCTTCACACTGATCCCAGTACAGCAGGAATCAATTATTTACAGCTGATTATAGACAGCTACTAATACTACACTTGAAATATATTCAACAGCTCGGCTTTTACTAAAATAATAACCCTTCACTGAAAAAACATCACAGAGACGTGATTAGAGCATTACAAATTGAATTAGAGTATTTATGAATTGTGTCCTGAGTTTATGAATTGAATTTGAGTATTTATGAATCGTGTTTTGAATTAGCATATTTATTAATTGCATTTTGAATTTACGAATTGGATTTGCATATTTAGGAATCGTGTTTTGAATTTACGAATTGGATTTGCATATTTAGGAATCGTGTTTTGAATTTATGTATTGGATTTGCATATTTAGGAATCATGTTTTGAATTTATGAATTGGATTTGCATATTTAGAAATCATGTTTTGAATTTACGAATCGGATTTGCATATTTAGGAATCATGTTTTGAATTTACGGATGGGATTTGCATATAAATGAATCGTGTTTTGAATTTACGAATTGGATTTGCATATTTATGAATCATGTTTTGAATTTACGAATCGGATTTGCATATTTAGGAATCATGATTTGAATTTACAAATTGGATTTGCATATTTAGGAATCGTGTTTTGAATTTACGAATTTAACTGGATTGGATTTAGTCACCTAAAAAACATCACAGAGATGTCATTAAAGCGTTAAAGGCCAAAAAAAAAAGAAAAAAAAAATCATTTAATAATTACTAAATTGTATTAAGGTATGTTGTTGCAAAAAATTATTTAGACAGAATTTAAACAAACAAATTAAATTCAGTAATTTTCAACTAAATTTGTTTGTTTAAATTCAGCCTGGACGATGCAGTGGCCCAGTAGGTAGTGCTGGCACCTCACAGCAAGAAGGTCGCTGGTTCGAACCTCGGCTCTGCTCAGTTAACGTTTCTGTGTGGAGTTTGCATGTTCTCCCTGCGTTTGTGTGGGTTTTCTCTGGGTACTCCGTTTTCCCCCACAGTCCAAACACATGCGGTACAGGTGAATTGGGTAGGCTAAATTGTCCGTAGTGTATGAGTGTGTGTATAAATGAGTGTGTGGATGTTTCCCAGGGATGGCTTGCAGCTGGAAGAGCATCCGCTGTGTAAAAACGTGCTGGATAAGTTGGCGGTTCATTCCGCTGTGGCGACCCCGGATTAATAAAGGGACTAAGCGGACACGAAAATGAATGAATGAATGAATGAAATTCAGCCTGTTTAAAATGTTTGCAACAACTTAAATCCAACAAACCATTTATTTCAGTGCAGTCACTAAAAAAAAAAGAGAGATTTATTTTTTAATTATTATTTTAATGATATTTGCAATGCAATCGGATACAAGTTTTAAAGAAATAAAATAAATCTATTTTGCAATACAATTTATTGTTTAACAAAAATACAAATACATTTAAAGCGTAATAAAATACAACACATTTAACTTTTTTTAAATAGTTGAGCTACAGTCGTAATATACCTTTTTAATAACTTATTAAATTTTTTAATAACTTTTTTAAATTATGATTTTAATTAATTAAATTTTTTATTTATAATAATAATAATAATAATAACTAAACTGTTGAAAATACTAAATACCATTTTTACAGTGCACAAAATAAAAAAAATATATACTGCAATGAAATCCACACTATAATCTGAAAAAAGTTTTTTTTTATAAATCAATCAATCAATAAATAGATAAATAAATAAATAAACACTAAAGTAAATAAATAAATAAATAAATAAATAAATATTAATAATAAAACTAAATAAATACATTTATACATAAACAATAAATAAATAAGTAAATAATACATTACACATTAATAAATAAATACATAAATAAAAAAATATTATTAATAAAATAAATAAATAAATAAATAAATAAATAAATATTACAGTCAAACTTATTTTTTAAAATGACTGTAAATAGCAATTTTTTAATTATGATTTTAATTATTAAATTTTTATTTATTTATTTATTTTTTTTAAATAGCCTTTTAAGTTATTGTTTCTGGATTAATGCATATTTAAATATTAAACCGGGAAAATACTGAGTAGTCACTAATAATAATAATAATAATAATAATAATAATAATAATAATAATAATAATAATAATAAAAAGTAGAGGAAGAAGAAGAAGAAGAAGCAGAAGGAGAAGAAGCAGGAGAAGAAGAATAACTAAACTATCAAAAAGGACATTTTTAACCACTGAGCCACTGTGTCACCCTTTAATAGTTTATATTTGTTCATATTTTAATATTACAAAATTCAAGACACACTTTTAATATCTACACTATAAATGTTTACTTAAATAAATAAATTTAAATTAATACAATTATTTAAATGAAAACATATTTAAAAATAATTCATAAAAATATTTTTTTTAACAGCAATAATTCAAAATTAAATGTAATTTTTTTAGGGGGGGGTATAGAGATACTTATGTTGTCTTTAACAAACAATAATACATTTTTCAGTGGGAAAACAGCACAAAAATGTTACTAATTTTCAATTTTAATTTAATCTAATTTTTAAATATCTAAAAAACCGGCACTACTATTTATTCAACTACTAAACAAAACATATCAGCAAATCAATATATAATAAATCAGCTATACAAAATAAAACATAAGCGTCTAATGCAATGGTGTATTTATTCAAATAATAATAACAATACTAATAAAACATTTCAAACAAAAAAAAATATTGCAAAGATGTCTCAAATAAATGCAGTTAAGTGAGAAATAACACATGCTAACTGTAATCTCACAGAACTGCACTTTTAGATCATCTCAATATGTTTTTAACAAGAGGTTGACTGAAACTAAATCTTAGCCTTTGCATTACAAAAACACACAAAACTGCAGATTTATTTTTAAAAATGTATTTTATGATATTTAATAGAGACAATTGTGTTGTCTTAAACAATATTATTGTAATAATCACCTTGTCAGTGGTAAAACTACACTGCAATTTTAATTAAATTTTTATTTTAATTACACAACAGTTCTGCCTGGTTCTCAAATCGGATTGGCTGATAACCGTGCAATATTCTGCAATAACAGCACGTATGCAGCCTCTTCACCCTTCTGTATTACTCCGCCCACACAGAGTGACAGCAGATCAATAAACTCACTACAGTTTGACAAATATTCCTGCTGTTGGGCAACATAATGTACTTTTAATGCTTTTTAGGTGAGAATGTAGTTGTTTAGATTGCAACTATGCAGTTTATTTATAAGGACTGTGCGTATTTTAAACATTTATAATTTTGGAGATTCATTGTCAGCAGCCATCAGCCTGTCGTACTGAGCAGAGCAAAAGCAGTTGACATTCTGCCACAAGATGGCGACAGAGATCACATAATAAACGCTTAGAGGAGAAAAACTCAAACTACAGCTGATCAAATCATGACAGAACAGGTAAGTGACTTTCTAAGTTGATCTCCCTCTTTTGTATGTTGTAGTGCTGTATTTATACCATAGTAATCTGCTAGTGTTTTGGCTTTTTCGGGTTTAATTATTCTGAATCTCCCGATTCAGACAGAGAAATACTGGGAAATCTCTGTAGACTGATGGCATTTCATGCTGTTCAGCCTTATAATCTGGAAATGTGAGCAAAATCAGCTGTTTTTTCATCCCTTTAGACATTACGCTAGAGAATCATTCAAACACTAGCTCTAAAGTGATGTTGGTGAATGAGCAATGGTTTTGCTGTTCTGACGTCATCTGCAGATGTGAATGGCGGAAGAAAGTAGTTCCTCATACAAAAGGATTTTCAGACTCTCTGTGTTTGATTTTCTTTTTAATATACATGATTATGCTGTCGAACTGTTGTATAAACGCAATATCAAACTCGTAGCAGTGCGATGTGGCTGTATATCGTCACTGGTGGGACACTAACGCACGCCTCCCACCAGTGCTGATACACAGACATATCGTACTGCTTCGAGTGTGATATTACAACTGACCCAGCCAAGGCTCGAACCAGCGACCTTCTTGCTGTGAGGCGATTGTGTTACCCACTGCGCCACCTCGTCTCGCCATTACAGTTTAATTCATTTTAATTGCTTTTATTTTTAAACTGACAGAGCAAAGCTATATTACAGTTTAGTAAAACAAAATACACACATTTTTAAAATTAATTTCTTTTCAAATTAATTCTTTTAAAATATTTAATGATTTTTTATTGATTGTCTTTTATTGATTGATTGTCAAAATATTATAGAATAATAACAAAAATACATTTATTTATTAATATGTTAATAATAAACTTGTTAGTGGAAAATCAACACTACAGTTGAATAAATATTTTATTATTTTTTATATTTTTATTTATTTTAAAAGCTGACACTATTATTTTTATTAACTAATAAACAAAACAACAGCATATAATGAAGTTTATCATTAAAAATACACAACATTGCTGATTTATTTTTTATTTATATTTTAATATAATTCAAATATCCTTTAATCCTTTTTTAATGATTTTTAATCATCATAAAAGTCATTCATGTTGTCTTTAACACAATAATATTCTAATAATTTGTTATAATTAATAATAAAAATACATTTGTCAGTTCTTAATTAAAAAAATTAAATACACAATTTCTGATAAAAAGTAAACAAATACATTTATTTATTGATTTATTAATAAATAATAAATTTGTCAGTGGCAAAAATCAACATTACAATTAAATAACTTTTTATTTTAATTTAATTTGTAATTATTTCAAAAACTGGCATCATTAATTAATTAATTTTTATTAACTAATAAACAAAACATCCCAGAACAACAGTATATAATACTGTTAAATATTTGTAACATTTATAAATAAAAAAATATTTGAAATTGCTGATACTTTTTTATTTATATTTAAATAAAATTCAAATATAGCATATATATTACAAAAAATACACAAATTGCTGATTATTGTTTTTACATTTATAATTAAATATTTAATTATTCAAATATTATAACTTCATTTTTTAAATGATTTTAGGAGAGACAGTTTTGTTCTTTAACACAAAATTATTAAAAAAAATTCTTATAAATAATAACAATAATAATAATAAATACATTTGTCAGTGGAAAAACAGAACTACATAACAATTAATGTTAATAAATAAAAAACCCTGACATTAATTTTTAAAACTAATAAACAATACATCCCAGAACAAGATATAGTACAGTTTAGTTTAAATAAATACACACAATTTCTGATTATTTTCTTTTCATTTAAAATTAAATATAATTATATTATTATATAAAAATAGTACAATAATAAAAAAATCAATTAGTAAACAATACATTAGTCAGTAGAAAAAAAAGACTATGATTGAAAAAAGTTTTTAATTATTATAATTTTTACATATTTTAAAAGCTTTAACCTAATAAACAGAACATCTCAAAACAGCAATATATATTACAATTTATATATTACAATTTAAGAAATGCATAAAACTGCTGATAAATGTATTTATTTATATATTTATAATTCATTATTTAAATATTGCCACTTCAACTTTTTCATTCGAGTTCCTAAACACAATATTATTATGTCTCATTATAAATAATAATATAAACACACTTTTTAGTAATTAAATTTAATTTATTATTATTATTATTTTTAATTAAATACAATTATTTAATTATTTTTTATTGATTTTTATTGATCGTCTTTAACAATAAAAATAGTAAAATAATTAACAAATACATTAAATTATTAATTTATTTATAAATAATAAATAATTTATAAATAAATAATTAATATTAAATAATTAATAATAATAAATAGTAAATTTGTCAGTGGAAAAATCAACACTACAACTGAACAAATATTTTATTTTTTATTTAATTTATAGATATTTTAAAAGCTGACACTATTATTAGATTGACTAATAACAAAACATCCCAAAACAACAGTTTATAAAACAGTTTTATAACATTTTTTACTGACTGACAATAACCAAATACAGAAATATTGATGAATATCTATCAGTCAACCACTAGTTACAGTAACTAGAAACATTCATATTTATATGAATGACTAAACAAATGCATTTTAAAAGAAAAATGAAGTGAAGTTGATGCACAAACACTCAGAAACACAAATTAACCTCCAAGACAGACATTTGCATGAGTCCCAGAAATGACTGCAGGTCATTTCTGCCCATTTAAGCATGCGTGACAAACAGGAAGGGAGCAGAGGAAGAGCAGGAAGTGACATCATCATGCAGGAATACCTCAGCAATGCTTAGGGTGGATGAAGAGGAGGGAAGCCGCGCCTGGTGCCACAAGAAGGGGAAAAGAAAAACACAAGTCAATAGAAGAGCCAGCAAAAAAATAAATAAAAGCAGAGCAGCAGCTCCCCCTGCTGGCCTGTAAGAATGAACACCGCAAGCCAAAAGCAGCTGCAAACAGAAGAAACTGCAGAAACTGCGCAAATATCTGCTATTTGCACACTGACAGTTTCTGCCATCGGGTTTGACTGTTTGTTTTTGTCAATTTGATGTTCACTTTGGGATAAAACGTGTGGCTAAATCCAATTCAATTAATTGGATTTACAAAACATTCAGAGACAATGTGAACACAGACAGAAAAGATGACAGATATACTGTAAGATGAGTATGGAGAGATATTATTATGATCATACTACCATATCAGGACTATATAGTCTATATTAAGTAGTACAACACTACCTGACAAAAGTCTTGTCGCCTATGCAAGTTTTAGGAACAGCAAATAATATCTTAACTTCTAGTTGATCATTTGGTGTTAGAAGTGGCTTATATGAAAGGCAAAGGCCTCTAGATGACGCTTATTTGAGCTCAATAAAATATGATCATGTCTTGATTATTAATGATTTCATTAGGACAGTAAGCTCTGACTCTGCTCAGACTAAAGTCTCATCACTGAACAGAAATAATGTCCAGTATAGAATATAAAGTCCTGCTGCAGTGGAGACAGAATGAATATTGTGTCTGACTCCATCATGAGCTTGGAGGACTGCATCCATACATCTCTGACATGACTCAAATCACTGATTAATAAAGTCATCATGGTGAAGAAAGCATTCCTGCAGGACTCCCAGAGCTCATCAAGACTCTTTGTGTTCATCTTCAATGCCTCCTCCTTCATCTTACCCCAGACATGCTCAAAAATGTTCATGTCTGGTGACTGGGCTGGCCAATCCTGCAGCTCCTGCACCTTCTGTTATACTTGATGCTAGTTTTCTTTCTTTGTGTATTTTTTTCATCCTCTTCTCCGCTTACTCAACCCTTAGGCCATACCCGTCAACCCTCCCATTTTTCCCAGGATTCTCCCGTATTTTACAGTTCCATCCCGCTATCATCCCGTAAAGGTATTTTCCCATATTTCTCTAGTATTTTCAGTCTTTCTCTGAACACCCCATCCTCCCTACACGCAACCCATACCGCCGAACCACCAGGGTTCGCCTCTTTCTCTAAAGCGTGAGTCTGTTCTGTGCTTTCACTTTGTTTAGGAATGAAAACACTTATAAATAAATATGAAAAACGGCGCGATTCCCTTTCCTTCTGATTACAGGTGCCGTCGCCCCTATCCTATACAATCCTCAAAACAGTCATATAATGGTGCATGACTGTCAGCTGACGCGCTCCATAGCAAACAGATGTTTTTTCCCAAACGGATTCTGTACACACGATTTGAAGCAGAAAGAAAGTCTGGCTTTTGGGTGCGTGTTTAAACCAATGACTGTAAAAAATATGGACGACGCGACAGCCCTTTTTCCCATTGAACGCCTTGAGGGCAAAACGCCTGCTTGACGGGCACAAACTGTCGCAAAAGACTGCTGAAATTGGAGCCAGACATGCGCAGAAGGACTGTCTGATGGAGCCAGAGGAGGAGCCGCGAAAATGAGCAGAGTCGAGCTTCCAATCAAACGCTTTATGCAAAATCAACTACGCCCCCCGAACTTCTCAGCATGCGTTTGCTGTCATATCAACACAAATGGATGTAATAACGTTAACAAATATGAGGGGTTTTATATATTCAATCGCGCCAGCTCCAGGCCGCAGCGCATAACTTACTCGTGGCGTCGCGGGCTGATTCCGGCTCGCATGCGGCAGCGCCTGCTCGCTCGGCCGCCGCATCTGGCTCGATTGACTCGGACTGGAATGGGGTAGTGAGTCCAGGCATCCGGAGTAGGTCCAGCAGAGGTAACATTAGTCAGTCTGAGCTCTAAGGGATAAGTCTCCGGCAGGCGAGAATCTAGGCGGAACTGTGTTTTGCTATCTGGGTGGCTAGGCGTGTATCAGCAAACTAATAAAGCCCGAAAAAAGCCCTGAACTTAGCGAATAAACAGTGTTCCACCAGGATCATGTATGTCAGAAACTATAGTTTACTCATTTTGTCATGGTAAAATAACACAGAAATCGAGTAATAACAGTTCAGTCTACTTCAGTCTCCTGCCGAAGCTCAAACGCCGCGCTTTGAGAAACTGTAAATCACAGCTGTCAATCACGATGACACGCCCAGCATTAAATTACTGCTAAAAACAAACTGTTTACAAAAATGAAGATCTGCACCTATTTCAGCACAATAACCAGTGCCTTAATCGACCAGAACTATCTTTCGGGACATTTTATTGCAAGTGTAATATTTTTTTTTATTTGGGCTCAAGTCTCCTTCATTAACACGGAGGAGGTGGGCTTTATGACTTGTACTGCAGCCAGCCCCCAGGGGGCGATCTAACGGCCGAAACCTTCACTCAAACGTAGGCTTGCGGCACACTTGGTTTAAACAGACATACACACACAACTAGACATACAAGCAAAGGGGAAGGGGATTTTTTTTTGGGGGGGAGGGGGGCATATCCCTTATTTTCACATCCCAATGTTGACAGGTATGCCTTAGGCTTCTTATTGGTTTATCATCTGTCCATCATCATTATGATGGTGTTGGCTCCACCAATCCTTGGACTAGCCGCAAGGATTTCAAGCCCCGACAGACCAGCGTATGGTGTACGCTCTGCCTCGGCGTACCATTTCTTCTCCACGCAATTGGTTTGTGCTATGCTTCGGCTGTTTAGTGATTTAGGGCGTACTCACACTATGCCATCCGAACCGTGCCAAGGCCTGTTTCCTGGATTGTTTGAGAAGTGTGAGTGCGCTGAATCAGGCACGGTTCACTTGGCTGGCCCCTGGCCAGGTTGGAAGAGGTGTGCCTGAGCGCGGTTCACTTGCGCTTTGGCGCGGTACGCTTGTGTGTGAGTGCAAAACGCACCTAAGCCCGAAACTGAAAGCGAGACGTGACTTTTGAGGGACTGTTTGATATGGATTTATTAATAGTTATACAGTTCAGTGAACGCAAACTGTTGTAGGTTATTAAAGACGCAAACCCCTCACTAGGCAGCTGTGCACCTTCAGCAAACCTCCTAATACCTGCAGCACGAGGGCTTTATGGTTGTTTATGAGCGTCAAAAGTAGCAGATCTGTTCGGCAAAATAATTGACTGCGTGTCATTGCATATCAAACAACATAACTAAAGAAATCTCCACTGTGCTGAGCGAGAGCGCTTCTGACCAGCGCATCATCGATGACGTAAGAGTTCCCAGGCCCGAATGTAATGTGTGTGCGGGCCGTCAGAGGGAGGCGGGAGGGGGGACAAGCATGCTTTGGCCCAGTTCAAGGCAACTGTACAGTGTGAGTACACCCTTATTATCTCAGTTTACTGTGGTAATTCGAGTTTGCTTGTTGAATTCGTTGGCTTTAAGTAACATAATGTGATGGTTGTTGTGTGATTCTAAGCCTTTGACCGTCTTATCCGGTTTGTTTCAGTTTAGATGGATCTTTTGTTTGATTAGTTTGAGTGTTTTGCCACCTGTGTATTTTGAGTTCTGTTTAATTAGTTTAGTTCGGGTGTCGTGTACACTGAAGAGCTCGGCTTTTATTTGTATTTCTTTTTGTCGCCTAGTTCAGACTTTAGATTTAAGGATTGCTTTGTTTAGCTTTTTTTTAAATCTGGCTTACACTCATTGTTTTTGTGTAAATACAATAATTTTATAATTATTTTTTCCATTTATTATTGTTACATATTTGTTTCAACTATTGAGTAAAAAAGCTTAAACAGAGAATTGATTCCTGCCTTTTTCTTGAAATGTCGCAGACATTACACCTGTCTCACATAAGTGTTACAGCATCCCACTTCAACATCTTAAACACGTAACACCTTCTTTGCTTTCAGGAGCTTTGATGTGGAGGCTGAAGTATGAGAAGGAGCGCTATCCTGCTGGAGAATTGTCCCTCTCCTGTGGTTTGTAAAAAAAAAAAAAAACTACTAACACTTCCCTTCTTAGACTTTACAGACCTGAAACTTGCCTTTAGTACTTATTCATTGTTGCTCTTAGTTGTGTAAATTGCTTCCTTGTCCTCATTTGTAAGTCGCTTTGGATAAAAGCGTCTGCTAAATGGCTAAATGTAAATGTAATGGGCAGCACAAATGTCTTGATACCTCAGGCTGTTGATGTTGATCATCCACTCTGCAGATCTCTCGCACGCCCCCCTACTGAATGTAACCCCAAACCATGATTTTTCCTTCACCAGACTTGACTGATTTCTGTGAAAATCTTGGCTCCATGCTGGTTCCAGTAAGTCTTCTGCAGTATTTGTGATGATTGGGATGCAGCTCAACAGATGATTCATCTGAAAAATCCACCTTCTGACACTTTTACAAATGATTAACTAGAAGTCAACTTATTATTTGTTGCTCTTACAACTGAGATTGGCGACAAGACTTTTGTCAGGTAGTGTATGTACAGCGGAAGTCAGAATTATTAGCCCTCTTGTATATTTTTCCCCAATTTCCGTTTAACAGAAATACGATATACAATACAAATTTTTAAACATAACTAATTTCTAATAACTGATTTCTTTAATCTTTGCCATGATGACAGTAAATAATATTTGACTAGATATTCTTCAAGACACTAGTATACAGCTTAAAGTGACATTAAAAGGCTTAACTAGGTTAATTAGGGTAAAGTTAGTGTCATGACTGTGAATGAACACTAGATGCCACTGTAGTTCGCCTGCAATTCCCTGCGAACTACAGTGGCCCAAGAACTACAAGTCCATACATACCACGCGCATTACACCCGGTCCACGTACACTGATTTGCAATCACAGCTGTGTCTGTTTAACGTTGATTACCTGGACTATATATTCAACCATTCATCCTGTTTGTCAGTTGGTCGTTGTCGTCTATATCGGTATGTTTGTTCCTGATACCAGTCTGTATCCTATTATTC